AGATGTATACTTAGAACAAGGCTATGTCTTTAAGGGACGTGAATACCAGGTATACAATCTTAGAAAAGCTTTATATGTCTTAAACAGACTCCTAGAGCTTGGTACAACAGGTTGGAGTTTTATCTTGCAACTAATAATTTTTTAAAATGTTCATATGAACACACTCTATTTGTGAAAAAGGAAGGAGAAATGTGCACTCTTAATTATTTGTGTCTATGTAGATGATTTGATATACACATGTAATCATGAATCAATATTTCTAGAGTTTATAAGTATGATGATGAATGAGTTTGCTATGACTGACTTAGACAAGATGAGATACTTTCTGAGCATTGAAGTTTTGCAAAATTGTGATGAAATTTTTATTGGATAGAAGAAATATATCATGATGGATATGTTGGACATAGTATATATGTTTGACTATAATTTAGTTAAGAATTCTATTGTTCCAGGTATTAAGTTGCTGAAAACAAATAAAGGGCAGAAGTTGATAGTACTTCAAACGACTTATAGGAAGCCTTATGTGTCTGAATGGTACTAGACCGGATATTGCACGTTCAACTAGCGTGATTAGTCGTTTCATGGAGCATCCTAAAGACAGTCACTCCCTAACAGCAAAACATGTTTTGAGATATTTGCAAGGAACTCAAAATTTAGGAATTTTTTATAAAGCTGGAGGAAATATAGAATTACTTGTTTATACTGAGAGTGATTATGCATGAGATCGAGAAGATAAAAATACTTTCATTTTGTGCTTGTCAATGTATTTGACTGAGAAGAATTTTGGAACATCTAGATACTGTTAAGGGGAGTTACTGTCATTTTTTGTGATAATACTTCTATAATAAAATTATCCAAAAATCCAGTCTATGGAAGAAGTAAACATAACGTAATATTTCATTTTTTGAGATATTTGTGTAATAATAGTGTTATTGAGCTAAATTATTACAGTAGCGAAAAATAATTAGTAGACAAAATGATAAAATCACTTAAAGTTAGTAATTTTCAGTATGTACAAAGTACTTTGGCATGCTTGAAGAACAAAAAATAAGTTGTTGTAAGGAACATACAATTTAAGGGAGGGTTTGTTCAACAAAGAATAAAGTTTTATTTGTTTGTTACAGTCTAAATTTTGTACGTGATTTAAATTAAATTTTGTACGTGATTCACAAGTACGTGGAAGTTTAGGTAAGTATTGTTAGTACGTTAGAGTTTACGTAAGTGTTGTTAGTACATAAGAGTTTGTTTGTTAGTACATAGAAGTTATTTTCCTATTTTTTAATTCATCACTTGTAAAAAATTTATATATTTAACTTCTTTATTTTAAGAAAGAATATCGAAAAAGTGGGTCGCAAGGCAAACATAGTCTCGTGCAAGTCACCAGTTCACAGGGCAAAGCGGATAAATGAAAAGATAGACAGAGAGTAGTTAGTTGAATCCTGTATCAGCCACTTTAATGCTTGGTTTGATATTCTCCAAACAAACAGAAAAACTTTTTTCTACCTCTTTCAAAAATATTTAATAAAATCAATAATTAAAATTTTTTTTACACTAAAATTATTGATACTTATCCAAACATTATATTAACTGACAAAACTTTTGTTAAATAGAAAAAATTGAAAAGTTAAAATAAATAATATTTTCACATAAAAAAATCGATTTAAGCATACTGAAGTGTTTGCATGCATGCGTGGATTGATGGAAAAGTGTTGGAGAGATGGTGAAACATGTATCCAAAAGTGAGTGGTAAACTTTTAGGTAAAAAAAAATAAGAACCAGTTCTTCGAATTATTGTAATTAACTTGCAGCAATTTGTATTTATCGTACACTAATGCTCTTTTATTTGATAGGTTTTGAATTATTGTAATTAACTTGCAGCCATTTGTATTTATCGTACACTAATGCTCTTTTCTTTGATAGGTAAGAGGTGTGTGATTTTTTCTAGTTACCTTTTGACTCTAAGTTTAATTAGATAACACAAAATTGTCTTGATCTTTTTCATGCTTTTTGTGTTTAATGATAATAGAAAATTCACACAAAACCAGTTGGCGCAAACACAACAAAATTTTCTCAGATCTCCCCTCAATTGAGTGTTTCACTCTTACTTATTTTTTGTTTTACTATCTTGATTTTTGGTATGCTCAGTGGACTTTATTACCTTTTCGGAAGTTGATGCAAATATATTCTATTCTTATTGAAAATAAAGGATGAAAAACAGATTGGAAATGTGTTGAAAATTCTTTGAACAGATGGAGGGGTGAATATACATCTTTAGAGTTTGAGAAGTATTGTAGATAAAGTGATATTCAGCATGAGGTGATAACCCCATATACACCACAACATAATGGTCTTGCTGAAAAAGAAATAAGACCATTCTTGATATGGCTAGAAGCATGTTGAATAAGAAGAAGATTCCACATATGTTCTGGGGAGAGGCAATGTCAACTGCAGTTTATGTGCTGAATAAGTGTCCTACAACGCAGCTTGGTAATAGAGTTCCTAAAGAAATCTGGTTTGATAGAAAATCAACAGTGAATCACTTAAGGGTATTTGGGTCTATGTGTTACAAGCATGTTCCAGATGTTAGAAGGAGAAAATTAGAAGATAAAAGCAAAGTTATGGTGTTAGTTGGATACCATCCAATAGGAACATATAGACTATACAACCCTGTCACGAATGAAATCTGCATTAGTAGAGATGTAATTGTAAATGAAGAAAGTTCTTGGAGTTGGACAAACCGGAATACCAAAAACAGTAGCAGTTCTAATACAAAGGGAAGTGTTATGTTGATTGGCGAAAGTGAAGAAGATGCTATCGGTAACAGTTTCAGCACCTGAGTTACAACAGCAGACACGAAGAGAGACTAGGCAAAGGAGATTACCAAGTTCAATGGTGGATTTTGAGATTTTTCCAGATAATGTAGTGATAGATGAAGGTGATCTAGTGCATTTTGCACTGCTGGCAGAAGCTGAACCAATTAATCATGAAAAGACATTGAATAAGGAATTGTAAAAAAAAGGCTAGAAGAGTTACAGGCTATTGAGAAGAGTCAGACATGGTTTCTGACTGAGTTGCCTTTTAACAAGAAACCCATTGATGTTAAATGGGTCTTCAAGTTAAAACTCAACCCAAATGGAATCATTTCAAAAAGGAAGGCAAGGCTGGTTGCTAGAGGATTTTTGCAGAAGCAAGGACCGGACTATTATGAAGTTTTTGCTCCAGTAGCAAGAATTGAAACCATAAGGTTAGTGGTGGCTTTGGCAAGTAGTAAAGGGTGACCTATGTTTCAGCTAGATGTAAAATCAACATTTTGGAATGGACCACTTGAAGAGGAGGTCTATGTGACCCAACCTCCTGGATTTGAAGTAAAAGGGAGTGAAAACAAGGTGTATAGGCTGATGAAAGCTTTATATGGCTTGAAACAAGATCCTAGTGCTTGGAACAAGTTGATTGATGCATTTATGATTAAACATGAATTTTGAAAGTGTCCAGTAGAGCATGGAGTGTATGTGAAGGTGCAGAATGGTGTGGATCTGTTACTAATGTGCATTTATGTGGATGATCTACTGATCACATGGAGTAACCTTAGAGAAATTGAGAAGTTCAAGGAAACATTGATGCTACAGTTTGAGATAACTGATTTAGAAAAGTTGAAATATTTTTTAGGAATTGAATTTGTTGAAACAGATGAAGGAGTTGTTTTGCATCAGCACAAGTATGCGTTGGAGGTATTAAATAAATTTGGCATGGAAAACTGCAATGCTACAAAAACTCCAACGGAGGTGAAAATTAGTGAAATAGAAGATGGAGAGGAAGAAGTGTGCAGCGTGTTTAAACAATGGTAGGTTCCGTGTAGTATCTTTGTAATAGTAGACCTAACATTTGCTATTCAGTGGGAATAGTCAGTAGACATATGCACCAACCAAAGAAGGTTCATTTACTTGCTGCAAAAAGAGTGTTCAGATATGTTAAGGGCACAACTATCTATGACATTCTGTTTTAAAAAAAGAATAAAAAGAAGCAGTCAAAACTGTTGGGCTATACAGATTCTGACTGGTGTGGGGATAAAAATGACAGGAGAAGCACAAGTGGATTTCTGTTTCAGTAATGGGAGCACCAATTTCTTGGTGCTCTAAGAATCAATTGGTAGTAGCACTGTCATCTTGTGAGACAGAATATATTGCAGGAGCTTATGCAGCATGCCAAGCTGTTTGGTTACATTCAGTATTGACAGAAATGCAGATTCAAATTGAAGAACCCATCCAGTTGCTAGTTGATAACAAATCAACAATTAATCTTGCCAACAATCCAGTGTTACATGATAGGAGCAAACATATAGAGGTTAGATTTCATTTTCTAAGAGAACAAGTTAATTTTGGGAAACTTAAATTAGTATATTGTCCTACTCTTCAACAACTAGCAAATATTTTTACCAAACCCAAACTTTTGAGGAATGAGAGCTTTGAATATCTGAGAAGCAATCTTGGTGTGGTAAAATTGTGAGTTTGAATTAAAAGGAAGTGTTGTAGCTAATTTAAAAATATTATTTTGTTATAATTTGTTACTTGCAATTTCATGTATCAAATTCTATAAATAGAGTCCCCTGTTTCTGTATAAAGTAGTGCATGATAATAAAATTTTTTTTAAGACATTTTATCATATAGATTGTGTGCATTCCTGTTATATGTGTTAAGTGTTCTAAGCTAACAGAAGAAAAGGATAACACCTTGTCAGTAATAAAGTTGTCTATATCCACTGCCATCATATGCATCAGCCAATGAGTGCACCCTTGTCCATGTTCAAGGGTGAGACATGACTTCTGGGCGACTCCGGCTTCATAGGTTTGACCAAACACACAGTTCCCTAGTAATGCTATTTGGGCTCAGGCCACTAAGAGATCGTGTCATGCGCCAATACTTGTCCCTTTCATCAGACATGTAAGGGTTTCCAAGACAGGTGTTAATAGCATCCCTGTCATATCTAATCCGGTGCCTTCTCACCTAAGACATTCTTTCTTGGTCTGTCTTCCCCCGCGCATAGGCATTAGCATAGAATTCCCTGACAATATTTTCTTTAAACTTGGCAGGTGGTGCTGCTAAGATACCCAAGACATTCTTTCTTGGTCTGTCTTCCCCCGCGCATAGGCATTAGCATAGAATTCCCTGACAATATTTTCTTTAAACTTGACAGGTGGTGCTGCTAAGATACCCCAGTGCAGATGTCGGATTGCTGTTTAAAAATCCTCATACTCCCCTTGGCCCAGTTCTACTCTCCTTTCACAAAGGAAAATTCTGGGTTCCAACTCTTCATACCTTTGCTTCTTGGCTCTGTTTAAAAACTTGGAGCAATCTAAGCGACTCAATGAACCCTCTCTTTCTGCAGGTTCTTCATGAGGGGGACTTTGAGCTGGCCTAGACCTGGAGGAGGAGGCTTCTCCTTTCCTTTTTCTAGAGAGCGGGATTGATTTCTTAGGAGCCATGCTGTAAAGAAATGAAAAGAAGATCAAAATAATTAATTACAACTGGTGAAAACATTATACTCCTTTAAAACCCTTTAGAGAAATATGCATATAATTCAATCATAACGCTTTTGATCCTAAGTTTGCTCAGCCCATCTCAAAATGCTAAGCGAATGGGCTATGCGTGAAGATGACTTTATTGGGACAAATTCGCTACGCAGAATAGAGTCTGCTGTTCGGATTGGGATCCGCTGGGCAGATTTGTCGGCACCGTTCATCCACCAATCAATGCATAAATGGGGTTCACATACAATGCAGCACAAAAATCATTTCTAAATCAGTAACAACATAGTATTGCGCTACCAATTAAGTCTATTGAACCCAAACATTTGGGAAAAATCAAATTTGGGAAAATTAGGAACCCTAATCTTGGTGGTGCATAGCATGTTCACTAATGTTCAATCCAACTCATGCTTTCCAACATATATGTACATTATTTAAATAATAGTCTAAATGCAATGCAGTATATGTTCGAGACACCACAATTCACTTTAATTTTTCCAAACCCAAATCATGGAAGTGTTAACAGAGGAGTATACTTACTAGATTCTGCAGTAATTGAATAGGAAAAGAAGTCTTAAAGTGAATGAGGATAAGATTTGTGAAAGTTGTGTTAAGAAAGAGGATAGAGAAAACCTGTGAGAGATTGTTTGAAAGTGAGACATGTAACTGGGTGCACGGGTACTGTGCTTTTAAGTAAAGTTTGTCAAAGACCCGAGAGCACCCTTCCTTGTTTCTAAAATTTCGTTGGACGGATGATAATCCGCTTAGCGAATTTCCACCCGAGAGCACTCCCCTCAATTGCAGGAAATTCCACTGAGTGGTTTCCAGACCGTCTAGCGGATTTTGTCCAGTGGCAGCCCCAAAATTAAGCAGCACATTCCGCTGAGCGAATGATGATTCGCTGAGCGAATTTTGTCTACTGAGCACCATGGATCTCCTAGCTGGATTTTGCTGAGCGGTAAGACAATTTGTTGAGTGAATATACAACACTAACTTTGTGTTTTTAAGTTTGTGAGCAGAATTAGTTCAGCCTCATTACTTACAGATGCTCCTCGCTTCTAAACAACTGAATCCTTCTGAGTCCTTAATTTCCTACACTTTGTAATTGCAAAACATGCATATATAAAGATAAAAAGAACATAAACACTCTAGGTTCCCTCCCAGCCAGCGCTTGTTTAATGTCAGATAACTTGACGCCTGTCTCTATAAATCCTTCAGATGAATGATGGTGATAAGCCTTTCAACTTCACCACCCAAGTAAGCCTTCAACCTTTGTCCATTGACCACCCATATTCTCTGAGATTCAGGATCTTCCAACTCCACAACTCCATAAGACTTGACTTGCTTAATTAAAAATGGGTCTGACCACTTTGATTTTAGTTTTCCAGAAAAAAGCCTTAACCTAAAGATGAACAATAATACAAATTGGCTTGGATAGAATTCTCTTTTAAGAATTTTCTTATATCATGGTAAGCCTTGACCTTTTCCTTGTACAACTTGAATAATTCATAAGCTTTGAGTCTCAATTCCTCCATTTCATGTAACTGAAACTTTCTTTTGTCTCTTGCTGCATGAGGATCACAATTCAACAACTTCAATGCCCAGTATGCCTTGTGCTCTAGTTCAACTGGTAAGTGACATGCCTTTCCATAAACCAATTGGAAAGGCAAAAGACCTGTAGGGGTCTTGTCTCTAGTTTGAGAGACCAATCTTTTCTTAAAGATGTTACAATTTTTCCTAAAATACGTTTGATTTCTCTGTTGGACACGTCTACTTGTCCATTGGTATGTTGATGATAAGGTGATAAAATTTTATGTCTGACTAACTCCATAATGCTCCAAATATTTTTGAAGTTGAGCATTACAAAAATGTGAACCTCTGATTAACACTCTTGGAGTACCAAACCTGCAAAATATGTTTTTCTTTAAAAATTTGATGATAGTCTTGACATCAGCTCTTGGGGTTGTAATTGCTTCAACCCATTTGGACACATAATCAACTGTCACAATAATATATTCGTTGGAAAATGAAGGTGGCAACGGACCTACAAAGTCAATCCCCCAACAATCAAACACCTCAACCTCCAAGATAGTGTTTAGAGGCATTTCATGTCTCTTCGAAACTCCTCCCGTTCTTTGACAACTATCACATTCTTGAACATAAATATGAGCATATTTGAATAAAGTAGGCCAGAAAAAGCTAGACTGCAGGACCTTTGCAACAGTCCTTTACTTATTATAGTGCCCACCATAAGGAGAGTTGTGATAGCGCCATAACATGCTCTTAGACTTTTCAGTTGTAACACACCTCCTGAGCAATTCATCAACTCCTATTTTGAAAAGATGGGGATCATTCCACACATAATGTTGTGCATATCTCAAGAATTTTTTCTTTTGGTGCCAATCAAAATCATCTGGAATGACACCTGCTGCTTTGAAATTTGTCATATCGGCGAACCATGGTCTCTCTTACACCAGCAACAACTTTTCATCTAAAAATTCTTCTAGAACTTCTGATCGATTGTTGGTTATCTCATCATTAACCAGTCAGGACAAATGATCAACTACATAATTTTCATTGCTTTTCTTATCTTTAATTACCAGATCAAATTCCTGTAATAACAAAATCCACCTAATCAGCCTAGACTTAGAATCAAATTTGGTTAAAAAGGATTTAATTGCAGCATGATCAATATACATAGTTACAAAACAACCAACCCAATATGCTCTAAATTTTTCCAAAGCATACACTATCGCTGGTAATTCTTTTTCAGTTGTAGCATAATTGACTTGTGTTTCACTAAGGACTTTAATAGCATAATGTATAGCATGAAAATATCTAGATTTTCTTTGTCCCAGTACAACTCCTATTGCATAATCACCAGCATCACACATTAACTCAAAATCTAATTCCCAATTAGGAGCAATTATAACAGGAGCTAAGGTCAATTTTTGTTTCAATAATTCAAATGCATGTAAACATTCAATATTAAAATTAAAAGGAGTATCCTTATTGTGTAGGTTGTTTAGTGGATTTGCTATGCTTGAGAAGTCCTTGATGAATATACGATAAAACCCAGCATGGTCGAGAAAACTTCAAATAGCCTTCACATTGGTTGGTGGTGACTTGAAATAGATAATAGGTAAATAAAAAGATGTTTTTGAGAGCATATCCTTTTCTCTTATGTTCTCTTATTTATAGGAGATAAAGATACAAATTCTGAGATATAATAAATAGGGGAAATGATTAAACCTAAAGAAGATAAACAAATACATTTAGGAACTAGGTTAATAGTTAGATACAACTAATCTAAAAAATACTCAACACTCCCCCACAAGTTGGAGCATACAAATTGTATGTACCAAGCTTGGAACAAATGAATTCCATTTGAGGCCCTCTCAAAGATTTTGTTAATGCGTCTGCAAGCTTATCATTGGAACCAACAAACTCAGTACAAATTTTTTTAGACAACAACTTCTCCCAAACAAAGTGACAGTCAATCTCAATATGCTTAGTCCTCTCATGAAATATTGGGTTGGAAGCAATGTAGAGAGCAACTTGATTATTATAATACATCTTCATAGGTTGAATCTCACAGAAGTTCAGTTTTTGCAATAACTGTTTTACCCATACAAGTTCACAAGTGAGAGACGTCATTGCCCTATATTCAGCTTCAACAGAGGATTGAACAACAACATTTTGCTTTTTGCTTTTCCACGAAATGATATTACCTCCAAGGAAAACACAGTAGCATATAATGGATCGTCTGTCCATAAGAGATCCAACCCAGTCAGTATCACAGTACCAAAAAATTTGGGTATTTCTCTTATCTTCATATAACAAACCTTGTCCTAGAGCTCTTTTAATGTATCTTAGGATTCGAATGATAACATTCCAATGATCAACACAAGGGGTTTGCATAAATTGGCTGGCAACACCAACTGCAAACGACAAATCAGGTCTAGTAATAGTCAAATAGATAAGTTTCCCAACCAGTCTTCTATATCTTTCTGGGTCAGAGAAAATTTCACCTTGTCTTGCCATTAATTTTAAATTTGGATCCATAGGGTTGTCCACAGGTTTGTAATCAATCATACCGGTCTCTTTTAGAATATCTAGAGCATATTTCCTTTGAGAAATGACAACACATTCTCTTGATTGAGCCACTTCAATACCTAAGAAATATTTTAGATTTCCAAGATCCTTGGTCTGAAAATTGCTACACAAGTGCTCCTTTAGTTGTGATATTCTAGCAACATCATTCCCTGTGATGACATTATCATCAACGTACACAATTAAATAAACATGTTTGTTAGGGGCAGTGTGACAATAAAATACTAAATGATTTGCTTCGCTTCATTTTAATCCAAAAACTTGAACAATAGAGCTGAATTTTCCAAACCAAGCACGTGGAGACTGTTTTAGGCCAAAGAGATATTGACGTAATTTACAAGTCAAACCAGACTCCCCCCAGAGCAACAAATCCAGGAGGTTACTTCATGTAAACTTCTTCTTCTAAGTCACTGTGCAAAAAATCATTTTTAATATCCAATTGATGAAGAAACTAATGACGAATGACGACCATGGCAAGGAAAAGGCGAACAATGGTCATTTTGGCTATAGTAGAAAAAATATCACAATAATCAAGTCCATATATCTGAGTGCACCCTTTAGCCACTAACCTAGCTTTGAGATGATCAACTTGACCATTAGGCCTAACTTTAATAGTATAGATCCAATGACAACCAACTGTTTTCTTTCCTAAAGGGAGAGGAGCCAACTCCCATGTTTTGTTGTGATCAAGAGCCTGCATTTCAAAAATTATGGTTTGTCGCCATCCAAGATGATCAAATGCTTCTGCCACATTTTTGGGGATCGTAATAGAGGATACAGAAGAAATAAAAGAGAAATAAGAAGGAGACAATCTATGATAACTAAGAAAATTGTAAAGGGGATGAAAATTACGAGTAGAACAAGTACCTTTGTGAATGATAATGGGAAAATTAGAGTCATTGTTATCAAGAGTCGTGGTATTAAACGATGATTGAGAAGGAACTTTTATGGGCGACTCATCTTGGGGAATGAGATTGCTCATCTTTGGGGTGTCAAAAATAGGAGGTACAAATGACAACTAAGGGGATAGGAAGAACATGTTGGACATAATCAATATCCCGCACAAAAGAAGGGAAGAAGGGGGATGATTAAAAAAAAGTGA